CTACTCAGGAGGCTGAGGCAGGAGAATCACTTGAACCCAGGAGGCGGAGGTTGCAGTGAGCCGAGATTGCACCACTGCACTCCAGCCTGGGTGACAGAGTGAGACGCTGTCTCAAATAAATAAATAAATAAAAATAAAATAAAGTAAACCACAAAGACAAAGAATGCCAAGTTCAGAAATCAGAAGGCCCAGTACAGGACAGTAAAAAAGGGAGTCCCAGATGATGGCTGAGGTAAATCCAAATTGGAGCAGAAAAGTCAAAGGCTTCAGAAAGGAGAGAGACTTGGGTAAAAACTGAACTTATACAGCATGTGAAATACTTAAGTGTTTTATCAACTGAGGTCAGGAGTTCAAGACCAGCCTGGCCAACATGAGGAAACCCCCATCTCTACTAAAAATACAAACAAATAAATAAAAAAGAAATACTTAAGCATTTTGAAAGAAATATTGGTAAGTATATGAGAAATGACAGAAACCTGTGGGAAAATATTTAGAATAGGTACACAGAAAACTCTGCAAATGAAAAAACAGGCAATTATTAACTTAGAAGATAGACATACAACGAAATATGTACAAAAAATACCAATGAATACACCAAGTGTTGATTTAACTAAAAATTGTGATATATCTTTATTGGGAGGCTTGGCAAGAGGAAGTTACAAAAATCAATATTTACATATTTTAAATGGAAATATCAAGAAATAATATAATAAGCACTTTGCTTAAAATCAGGCAGTAAATATCATGAAAAACTGCTGAATAAGTTGAAAGTGGCTGCCTCTGCAGAAGAGGACTTGGGGCCAGGTGCAGTGGCCCACGCCTGTAATCCCAGCACTTTGGGAGGCCAAGGTGGGAGGATAACTTGAGCCCAGGAGTTCGAGACCAGCCTGGGCAACCTAGGGAGACCCCATCTATCTCTACAAAAGAAGAAGAAGAAGAAGAGGAACAAAAGAGGAAGAGGAAGAAAGAAGAAGAAGAAGGAAGAAGAAGGAGGAGGAGGAAGGAGGAGGAGGAAGAGGAAGAAGAAGAAAAGAAAAGGAAAGAAGATAGGAAAGAGAGAAAGAAAGAAGGAAGGAAGGAAGGAAAGAAGGAAGGAAGGAAGGAAGGGAAGAAAGGAAGGAAGGAAGGAAGGAAGGAAGGAAGGAAGGAAGGAAGGAAGGGAGGAAGGGAGGAAGGAAGGAAGGAAGACCGGCCAGGTGTGGTGGCTCACGCCTGTAATCCCAGCACTTTGGGAGACTGTGGCGGATGGATCACGACGTGAGGAGATCAAGACCATCTTGGCTAACACGGTGAAACCCTGTCTCTACTAAAAGTACAAAAAAAAAAAATAGTCGGGCGTGGCTGTGGGCACCTGTAGTCCCAGCTACGCAGGAGGCTGAGGCAGGAGAATGGCATGAACCTAAGAGGCGGAGCTTACAGTGAGCCCAGATCCCGCCACTGCACTCCAGCCTGGGCAGCAGAGCAAGACTCCGTCTCAAAAAAAAACAGAAAAAAAGAAGGAAGGAAGGAGAAGGAAGGAGGGAAGGAAGGAAGGAAGGGGAGGGAAGGAAGGAAGGGGAAGGAAGGAAAGAAAGAAAGAAAAGAAAGAGAAAGAAAGAAAGAAAAAGAAAGAAAGAAAGAGAAGAAAGAAAGAGAAAGAAAGAGAAAGAAAGGAAGGAAGGAAATAAGAAAGAAGGAGGAGGAGGAGGAGGAGGAAGGAGGGGGAGGAAGAGGAAGAAGAAGAAAAGAAGGAAGGAAGGAAAGGAAGTAGAAAGAAAGAAAGAGAAAGAAAGAAAATTAGTCTGTAGCCAAGGGAAGGGAAGGGAAGAGAGGGGAAGGGAGGGGAAGGGAAGGAAGCAGAAAGAAAGAAAGAGAAAGAAAGAAAATTGGTCTGTTGCCCAGGCTGTAGTGCTTTGGCATGATCTCAGCTCACTGTATCCTTGAACTTCTGGGCTCAAGTGATCCTCCTACCTCAGCCTCCCAAGTACTTAGGAGTACAGGCATGTGCCACCATGACTGGCTAATGTTAAATTTTTTGTAGAGATTAGGTCTTGCTGTGTTTCCAAGGCTGGTGTTGAACTCCTGAAACCCAAAGTGCTAGGGTTGCAGGCATGAGCCACTAGCCACTGCACCCAGCCAAAAATATTTTTAAAGTGAGAATTGAAAAGTGCCTAGCTTTCTCACCAGGTAATGTGTTGTTGTATAACTCCAGGCCAATACCTAATGCTAGCTTAAATCATCTTAGTCTCCACAAAAGAACAGGAACTTTTTCCCGTATCAAACACTTGGGATATGCTTCACTGAAAAATGAGCAGAATTTTATAAGTGGAAAATAAGTAGAAAGGATGACTGTAAGTGTGGCATCCAGGAAACATAACAGTCTTTTGTGAGCTTAGGTGACACATGAATCCTGTGAGGCCTCAGCTGGCCTCCATTCCACACTGCTGGCCCCATTTCAAATGGTCTGTAGCATAGGAAACACCTCACAGCCTGCGTCATGCATCCCACACTGCCTCCTTGCCTCAGTGGTCAAGACTTTGACCTTTGTTTGCCTACTGAAGGCTTTACCTTCCCCTGCTTTGGACCTGTCCTCTTTATATTTCTAACTCTGAACTTTGTTTTTCTCCTTGACCACGATTTACCTGTTTCCGATTAAATACTGTGTCACATAGAGATAGTGTTTGGCTACAGGTAACAGAACCAGCTACAGTGCCCTACACAGTGGAAGAGGACTGGGCAGGTACAGCTACTGCCCACATCATCAACGTCCCAGATTCCTCCTCTCCTTCTCCACCATCGCCTCAGCAAGTGGCCCTTATCCTCATGGCTGCAAGGTGGCTGCCACACCTGTAACCTCTCATCTCCATTCCAGGCCAGAAGAAAAAGAAGGAAAGGACAAGGAAGAAGTGCTAGTATCTGATTTCTGGCCCGTTCCAAGTTGTGACATTCTTTTTTTTTTTTTTGAGACAGAGTTTCGCTCTTGTTGCCCAGGCTGGAGTGCAATGGCATGATCTTGGCTCACTGCAACCTCTGCCTCCCAAGTTCAAGCATTTCTCCAGCCTCCCAAGTAGCTGGGATCACTGGCATGAGCCACCATGCCTGGCTAATTTTGTATTTCTAGTAGAGACAGTTTCTCCACGTTGGTCAAGCTGGTCTCAAACTCCCAACCTCAGGTGATCTGCCCTCCTCAGCCTCCCAAAGTGCTGGGATTACAGGTGTGAACACCGCGTCTGGCCTCAAGTTGTGACATTCTAAACCACATTGTCTTACACCTCCAGGTCCCTTTCCACATTCATCCACCTTGCCCTCCACTGCTCTTTCCTGTGCCCAGCCTGATTTGAGCTCATACTTGTACAACCATTTTCGTACTTCAACCTCAATTTACCCTCTGGAGCTGAAATTCAGTACTATTTTTGAAAGTTCTTGTTTTTCCTCTCAACTATATTTCTTGTTTTCCTTTCTGCTTTTGGCCTCTCCCTGGAGAAGCCTGGCCTCCGGAAACTGTAGTGTTAGGCACCTCCGGCCTTTTAAGCAGGACCTGGCCATGTGGCTAAATGAGAAGCAGGAAGGAGGAGAAGGCAGAGTGCCATGGGAAAGAATATGGAGGAGGGGTTGACATAGGCTCTCTGAATAACAATTAGGGATTTGGGTCTTTATTTTATAGGAAAATCAATGAGAACTCTGGGTTTCAAATGATAGAAAACCAATTCAAACCGACTTAAGTACAAAAGTAAATCTGTTGACTCCTGTAAGTCCAGGGTGGTTCTAGCTAAAAGTCCAGCTGGAATCAAGGGTTCCCATAATGCCACCCACGTCCGTCTCCTGGGAGTTCTGCTGCTGTGTTGACTTTACTCTCAGGCAGGCTCTTTCCCACATGGGGGCAAGTTGAGCAGCATTAGCCAAAGGGTTACATTCTGCCCAGTTAATAATCTCAAGAAGGAGCTCTTCTTTGGATTTTGACTGGACAACCGTGAGTCACATGCACACCTGTTAAACAATCACTGTGCCAGGGAGATGAAATACACTAGACATCCCTGGGCTATGTGCATACCCTGGAGGGCAGGGGAGTGGAACCCTAAAACAAACTCAAGGTACTGTTCCAGAAAGAAGCTAAAATGGAAGCTGGGTAGGCGGAAATAAGAGATGTCTACTAAAGAAAGAGGGCCAGGAATGGTATTAGAGCTGGTAATGATAAGATCAGAATGTTGCTTTCAGATGATTAATCTGGAAGCAGGGTCCAGGATGGGCTTGGAGTTGGGGAAGTTTGGGATTAGGAAAACCAGTTAGGAGGCTACTCTATCATCCAGGTAAAAGACATGACAGTGAGAATGGGAAAGACAGGACAAGTGTAAAAAGTTACTTCAGAGGTAAATTAATTGTCAGGACCACTCACGCCAAGAAGATATAAGGAAGAGGTATGAGGTCAGAGGAAAGTCATTTGGCTAATAAGAATGTGGGAGAGCGCCTCTCTCAGAAGCCTAAGACCCACTCCCTCTAAGGTAGTTGTGAGATATCCTACCTGTTTACGATTATGTTCTTTCCCCATGCAGGTAAACTACCGGTCTTAAAAATTACAGTCACTCCCCAGATCTCTTCAGATACCTTCAGATCAATTTGGAAAAATAGCAAGAAGTCTAATACTATCCGTAAAAAGAAGAAAAAGGTAAGTTCTTGGACATCTGTGTCAGTGAGGAGCAGCCACCAGGGAGTGCTGTGTGGAGCCTGGGCCCTTGGGGCAGATGGCACCATCAGCTGCAGGTTTTGCATTTGATTATATGAGAATTTAGGTTCTAGGTCATGCTCCTCTACACCATCATTCCAATCTGATGGATGATGATTGAACCAAGAGACAAGTAGTAAGAGAAAAACAGTTTCCTCAAAGATTGGCAGACTGGGCCTCCCCTCTTTAATTCCCACCGCTACCCAAATCCTAGTTGCTGCTCACCTATTGTGGATCTGAAAAGATAAATTTACCTTTAAATTTACCTAAACTCTTTATGAAGGCTGTGCTACCTCTTAGGAGGTAATGCTTTATGTATGTTTATTCTCTACTGTAAGAAGTTGAACTCCCTTTTTTCTATAATTTATGATGTCCTGTTTATTATTTCACAGACTAAAAACTGAATATGGGTGCTGTATTTCCATATGGATATCATCTATTTCCATGGCCAAGCAGACATGCCTAGATAGATATTGCTTATTCTGTAGTAATATTTTTCACTGTAACCAAGTCCCTTTCAAGTTCTCAAATTTGATGATTATTGTATGAAAGTTTAAAGTCATGTGATAATCCTATCTTGTGATGATCCCATCACACTTGTCATTTTCTAAAATGTGGGTTTCACAAGTAAGTCTTAGTAGAAAGAGATGCAGTTCTCTGAGGCTTCATCTCTCCTGTATATGAAATTTATAAGTGAAGTAAGTCATAATTTTATCTAAGAAAGAAAGAATCCTCTTTCATAAATATACCTATAGTTGGGAACAATAAGAATGCTTGGAAATAATAACCACTTCCCAAAAGACACCATCCCTAAAAATGAGGATCTTCCCTAAATGAGGAAACTTTTTTTTTAAGATGGGGTCTTGCTCTGTTGCCCAGGCTGGAGTGCAATGGTGCAATCTCAGCTCATTGCAAACTCTGCCTCCTGCATTCAAGCGATTCTCCTGTCTCAGCCTCCTGAGTAGCTGGGATTATAGGCGTGCACCACCACGCCTAGCTGATTTTTTGTATTATTAGTAGAGACAGAGTTTCACCATGTTGGCCAGGCTGGTGTCGAACTCCTGACCTCAGGTGATCCACCTGCCTTGGCCTCCCAAAGTGCTGGGATTACAGGCGTGAGCCACCGCACCTGGCCAAATGAGGAAACTTCAAATCCCTCTGCCCCACCATGAAGATGCAACACAGTCCCGTGAGAGATGGAAGAGGTGTGGTTGATTGATGTACAGATGACAGTGGGTGAGTTGGGTTTTATATGCCACAACAATACGGTGCAGGATGAAGAGCATGGCCTGGGCAGTTAGATGAACCAGAAGTCTCTGTAGAGAAATTGCCACTTTCCAGGTACTGAGCCTGGGCAAGTCAGTTCACCTCATGCTCCTCAGTTTCCTCTTGTAACTGAGGAACTTACTATATGTAAGATATAGTTAAGAGGAGCAGGGCTGGGTGCAGTGGCTCATGCCTGTAATCCCAGCAATTTGGGAGGCTGAGACAAAAGGATCACTTGAGGCCAGGACTTCAAGACCAACCTGGGCAACATAGTGAGACCCCCTATCTCTACAAAAAATTGAAAAATTAACCAGCTGTGGTGGCATGTGCCTGTAGGCCTCGCTATTTGAAAGGCTGAGGCAGGGGGATTGCTTAAGCCCAGGAGGACAGCGCTTCAGTGAGCTATGATTGCACCACTGTACTCCAGCCTGGGTGAGAAAGTGAGACCCTACCTCAAAAAAAAA